AAAAGGCCACTGACTGTCTGAAATATTTTTATTGACGTTATATTTTCTTCATTTTTTCCTTTCCTTAATACCTTCTTGCACTGGTTTGGTACAGGGACATTTGAAGGAAACTTTATTTGCTGGGTTCATTGGGGACAGGCGGCTCAGCAGACGAGTTTGGCTGTTTGAAAGCAGCTTGTGTGTTTGTTGACAGGGCTGTGTGGTGCAGGAGAAGGGGGGTGCACGCTGCCAAATGTTTGCTTGCTGACTCCATCAAGAAAATATCAAAAGGCCCTTTATGAGGTGCTGTAAAGAAGACCAGGTGTTTTGAGAACACCACCAGACTCCAAGGGTAATTCCACTTTTTAAAACATGCCCCGGGGATACATTCTTGTCCCACCTGCTGCCTTTCCTGCTTTTTTCATTTTTAAAGGAAAAAGGGGTAAAAAAAAGAAAAAGATTAAAATGTGCCTTGGCAGCAGCTTGTGTGCCATGTCACATTGTGTCATTCTTCAAAAGTCCACAGTTTTGTCATTAGTACTGACAGAAGCCATGAGCAAATGGGAAAATGTTTTTACTCAACATGCTGGTCTGGCGTCAGATCGCATGCATGCGTCACAAATGTTTATCGATGTTTGTCTCATTGCTTTCTTCTCGTTCCCAGAGAATGGGTTTAATTCCCTTCAGGAATGTGTTTCTTAATATCTATTTTCAAATCTCAAACCCGAGCCATCTCTTGATTGGCCGTCTTCTTTTCCTATATAGTGATGCCTCTTTACAGGCGTGCTAGTGTGTCAGTCTGTGGGAGACCAGGTGATGAGCTTTCTGACAGCTGTTGAAAGGCGTTGCTACTGCTCATCACCTTTAATGAAAGTCCCCCCTCCCCTGTCAACACAGTCAGGAATTCCTCCCATTTTTCTCAGTGGTTTTTTTCCTCCACTTCTTTGCTTCTCTCGGTTATAGCCCGGTGCCATTTTGAGTGCTTGTATATATATATATATATGGGTTATATATAGGTGAAACAGAATAGCAATGGGAAATGAGAGCACATGTATGGAGGTGTAGCAGTAAGGGATACTGAGAAGTGGCTACAAAAGCCAGTGACGAAGATCCTCCGGAAACGCTGGTACTGAAAAGAGGAAGGAAGCAGGTCTGTTGTGTGGGACCTTGTAGCAGAAGCCTCAAGAGTGATAGCAGGAAGACATGGGCAAAACAAAACAGAGAAGGAGAGTATTATGTGCTGGCACCACTGACAAGGGTGTGGTACTACTTTCTTTTCCTCTTTCATGAAACCCATTTCTTTACAGAAACCTATTCGTGTGCTGATGGTCGGTCAGTCGTACCCTATGGTGCTGTAGCCTCTGCCATGGTGTAGAGGGCCAAAGGCACCCTTGAAAGCCCCACCTAGTGTGCCAGCAATTCTCCCAGCCCACTGTTCACCATCCCCTCCCAATCTGCTGTCCTTCTGCTACTACTCTCTGCCCAGTCCCCAACCCTCTTTTCACATTGAACCCTACTGTGTGCCCCTCTCTCCCCTTCTGCCTCAAAGTCTCGACAAGAGGTACAACTTTACAGGATCTTTAGTGAAAATAGAGGTGGAGACAAAGGCCACGCATGCCCGTGCATGCAGTTTAGCACTAACAGGGAAAACATCAACAGAGTGAGTCGCACACATAGAGGAGGGGGTGTTTTAATGGGGACTGGAATTCAGTGGTGCACTGTTACAAACAGTCCGGGCATTTGCAAGTGAAATATACACTACAGAGACAGAGCAGAGCCGCTGGCTGGAGTTGCACGTGAATGCTGGACAAGCACAAAAATAAACACCTACACGTATCCTACAGATGTATTGCACTGTGAGTGCACTGGGCCCAGAAAGAATACGTCTAAGCGTTTGCTCTCACATGCCAAGGCTGGAACTTTTGGAGCAGTGTCGCACTGAAGATTCAATCACTCCAACAGGTCACGTACTCAAAATCTGCAAGCCTATTGTGAAAGAATACTTGTTACAGTGCCAGAATGTCATATGCTGCTCAGTTAAGAGGAGTGTGTTGCAACACAAAACAGGAGCTGCATAGTCATGCGTTTGCTCACATACATTAGAAACACTCCTTTTTTCCAGCTGAGTGAACAGCAGGCAGCCTCAGTGTTGCCAGGAAGTCTTCTGATTATTTCTTTAGTGTTTCTCCTTGTTCTGGCTTTTTTTTCTCTTCTCTTGGATCTCTTGATACTAAAGGGAGTTTGCTTGGCTCGGTTAACTTGACCTAGAATTCACTGTAATTGACCTAGTTGAATTCACCTTCAGCTACACAGCTATTTCTGTCTCGTGCAGTTATATTTCACATCTAATGAGGCTGTGCTGAATGCTGCAATGCTCATCCCATCACGCTCAAGTATTTTAGTGTAATGTTGCTGTGTGTTTGTAGTTTGTAGCCACTGAGTGTGTTTATGGGACCAACTTGCTCAGTGGCAGCGGGACCACTTGTGCACAGCAATGCAACACGGGATCAGAGAATAAACTGATACTTAGCAGGAAGCTAACAGTGACTGTTGATAACTTAGCTATACCTTCTTCTTGCCTTTCTTTTTCTTCTTCTCCTCCCCCAACAGCGGCACCCATACCACCTACCCCACTCCTCTTCTCATCTGTCTGTCATCAGCTCACAGGCCTTAGACAGCGGATTGTCATGCAAATGGTGCCCCAAGCCTCAAAGCGCTGATAAGGAGGGCCTCTCATTTCACTGGGCTTTGTTTTCTAAACAGTGATGAGCTGAGTTGAAGAGACTGAGAAAAGGGGCTCGGGGTAGCTTTCTGAATGGGCCCTCTGACTGTGGCGCCCTGGGGTAAGTGGTACAGGGGATTTGAATGGAGTAGGCTGAATGAGGCAAAGTCTTGGAGGTGGATTCAGGAGTCATGTTCTCTGGCAGGAACCAGGTTCAACGTGTTGACAGAGCCTGATGTATTTTGTCTGTCACCGCTGCCCGAGTTTTCTCCAAGATGGACTTTCTGTGTTTGGCCCGCTTTCTTTATCCATTTAGACGTTGTCAGTCAGTGTTCGTTACTTGACGCCACATATGGTTTGTCCTTTTCTAAGGGGTTGTCAGCGCTCGGTCTGGAGCCTCATTTGCTGCTGTTATTATTGCATAAACAGTGGTTCATGGTGCGTTCAGAGGGTTTCTGTTCTCCCACTGACCCTGCCGTTTTGTTACATTCTGGCCAAGGAGATATGAGACTTGCTGTAGAAACATTCAGGGGGCGTAAACTTTGGATTTTAGATTGATTTGTGCATTTGGCTTTGGGATTGGTCTAAAAACTAATGGAAAACATCTTTGACTTGAGCAAAATGAGGTTTTCAAAGGAGGACTGTGGATTTCTGAAGAGTCGCATATGAAAAACAGATGTTTAGGCAGCAGGCAACAAATAAAAAATGTCTGATGTATTTCTGTTACTATCATTAATGAGGTAGTTGCAGGCCAGTCAGAGCAGCTACAGCAGAAGTAGTAGTAATCGTCAACTTGGTCTTGAACAAGACTTGCCCTCAAGAGCAACTTTGTCCTCCCCCTCTCCCCCCCCTCCCCTTCCCCTTTCTCTGTTTTATATCAAATTCCTCTTTTTACGCCTTCTTTTTTTCTCTCCTTTTTGAAGTCTCCTCTCTCTAGTAAAAAAAAGCCATGCTGGTGGTTTTTGATTCTGCTTTGGGTGTGAGAGGGGGGAGTAAGTTGGGTGGGGGGGTTGTAGGTTAAGTTTAGGCAAGTCCTCTGTGCTTTCCATTGAAGGTGCTGGGGAGAGGTGGGGGCAGTAAAAGTTAGAATTTTAGAGCCTGCCTGTTTTTTATTTTATGATTGGCTTTTTTTTCTCTCTTGCTCTCTTTTTACGGGCTGTGAGCTACAGCTGGTGGTGTGAATAGCTGCCCAAGGTGACTGAGTCCCAATAAAGTGCAGGCCAGCCGGGCTGGGGCCTCCAGTCCAGCCATGGGACTGCCTTTATAAGCCAACTTACGAGCCTAGTCCTCTGTTAAAACCTGGCAGGGCTGCACTGAGGAATTTAGGGCCAGGAAACAAGAGAAAAATAGGGTTTGTGTGTCAGGGGATGGTGGTGGGATGCAGAGTAGGGGGTTGAAGTTAGAGGGTGACCAAGGGTGAAACTGTTTGTGTGCAAGTGTGTGCAAGTGTGTGTTTGTGGTTTTGTGGCATGTGTGGTTAGCATCTTATATTTCTCAGGGGGAGTATGGAATCCATACCCTGCACACTTGAACCTTCCAAAAGAGCCTATATGGGGTGCACTTTGGAATATAATGAAGTGTAATGGACCATATCAAGTATGTGACTCGAGTAAGCACTGATGTCACAGCTGTGCCTCCGTTTTTGAGACATAGAATCAGGGCTCTGCACCAGCTTTGCGTGTCCGTGCATTTGTCATGTGCCTGTGCTGTGCGTGCAAGATGTTCACATGAGATGTTGTCAATGTGTGGAATGAGGAAAAGCCAGCTTTGACTCTTGACTTTTCTCAACTCATTAGCTCGCTCTGTTACCTGTCCTTATCAAAGAACCTGTCAGACACTGTCAGTTACATCTTAGTGATGTAAAAAGCAGTTTTCTCACAGCTGTCAAAGAGCCCTTCTTCTCTTATTTATTGTCTTTACATAGACAAGAGTTATATGCGAAGACAATATGACAATATGTTCTATGCGATATCCCCAAAGGGCCCCTGAGTTTAGTGATAATTGGTACCAGGAAATAGGAACACTTGATAGTTCATATGTTATTTATCTTTTGAGACTTAAATGTGTCTCACTCCACGTCCAGGCAAAATGTTTACCAAGCGAGCATGACTGTTAATCAGTGTCTGTTGGTGGAACCTCAGTCATATCTGCCGTGTCATTTCTTAGTGTGGTTATCTATCCACATCTGCTACATGTATTCACAACTCCACATGTGGCATTTGCAGAGTTAGTAATAGTTGTACGATAATGATTAGTAACTGATCATGTGCTCCACTGTCTTTTCTTTCCATGTTCACAGCGGTGGAGACCCAGAGCAACAGCTCAGAGGAGATGGTACCCAGTTCTCCGTCTCCACCTCCCCCACCTCGAGTCTACAAGCCCTGCTTTGTGTGCCAGGACAAGTCCTCCGGGTACCACTACGGGGTCAGCTCATGTGAAGGCTGCAAGGTGAGAAGAACCAATCTTTTGAACACTGGGTTTTCTGAAATAAAAAAAATTTAGATTCTCTATTTTGCATTCACATGATAAAAGAGGGATGGACAAAGGGCAGGCTGAAAGAGATACAGCGATATGTCACAGCCTTTATAATGATAACTGTATTGCACATTCTCCCTTGCCCTCTTCCCTTTTGTGTCTTGCTTCCTGATGTTCCAGGGTTTCTTCCGTCGCAGTATCCAGAAGAACATGGTGTACACTTGCCACCGAGACAAAAACTGTCAGATCAACAAGGTCACACGCAACCGTTGTCAGTACTGCAGGCTGCAGAAGTGCTTCGAGGTCGGCATGTCCAAGGAAGGTGAGTCCCCCAGCGTTGGAGATATAGAGAGACCCGTTTGGAAAACAGGGTCACTCTCTCACTTGCACATAGAGACTGAGAAACTAGGCAGCAAAGACAGAAGCAGATGATGACCAGGGGTGGTGATCAGGGTGAGGCTGGGCACTGTACCAATCATATGACTAATCCCTTTACAAAATGAATCTGACTTCCTGTTTCACCACAAAACCTCGCCCCTCTGGCCAGCACACAGACACTGCTTTCATTCATAAAGCAACACGGGAGAAAACAAGATTTGGGAGTTTTGACCAACGTATTGAGAACAGGATTCACGCCATTTGCGCAATCAGAAACACCAGCTTGTTGTGGGGGGGGGGGGGGCTTTTTATTTCAACCTTTTGTGTAGCCAGCTGCGTGTAAGTGGCAGTTTCTTGCCCTTCATGAAGCCCGGGGGACATGTATGTGGGTGTAATGTTTGTGTGGGATGTGTGTTAAGACCGGGATCACATTGTGCCTCTGCTATTACTGGATATCCTGAGAGGAAGGAAAGTATGGGAGGAGGAGGAGGAGGTGGGAGAAGAGGCAGAGAGAGGGAGAGAGCGTACTGGCTTATGTGCACCGGTCAAGTGGATAGAGAGATGGACAAGGAAGCCAGCGGGTGATAAGAAGGAGATAGCCAGTGTCCGTGCCGGGCCTCAAGGAAATATGTTAATGCTGTTAAGAGCAGAAAGGTTCTGGTTTCCACTAGCGTGTAACATCTCCTTGGCAGCAGTGAAAGACACTGAGCATGAATGCTGAGTTTGTTTTCAAATGTCATTACAGATAGATTAAATTAACTTTCTGTATGAGCTTTAACATTGTATGTGGAACTAATTTTGTTTCCTCCCCTTTACATAGCGGTGCGCAATGACAGAAACAAGAAGAAGAAAGATGTGAAGGAGGAGGTTGTTCTTCCGGAGAGCTATGAGCTAAGTGGAGAGCTAGAGGAACTAGTCAATAAAGTCAGCAAAGCTCACCAAGAAACTTTCCCATCACTTTGCCAACTGGGCAAATACACCACCGTAAGTCGTGCACATAAACCCCTATCTTTCACTGCTGCATGTGGAAACTGTCTCTCAGCTACGTCAGCAGTGAATGCTCCCAGATTGCATGCTTATGAAAATTCGCAGTAACTTTCCCAACATAGTGGTGGCTTAACTAATGCAGTTCCCCATTAAGCCATCTGTGTGGCCTCGGAATGATTGATGCAACATGTAAATGGAATTCTTTCCCCACAGTTGACTGATGTAAAATGTAAATGTGAGGCTCGGTGAATCTTGCCTTTGATACAAACGTGGTTGCACACCTCCTCTTGTATGACATGCTGAACTGTGGGTGTTTTTGTTTGTTCAGAACTCCAGCTCGGACCATCGAGTCCAGCTCGATCTAGGGCTATGGGACAAGTTTAGTGAGCTTTCCACCAAATGCATCATCAAGATAGTAGAATTTGCCAAGCGGCTGCCGGGTTTCACCAGCCTCACCATCGCTGACCAAATCACTCTGCTTAAGTCCGCCTGCCTGGACATACTGGTGAGGAGCTTTTGTTTTCCCTTCTGCCCTCTTCACTCACTTTTTGTAAATAAGTGATTCTGTCAAAGCTTATGCTGAAATATGGGTATGCTTCCACCCGGTGGTAAGAAGTGGCAGTGCATTCAAGTTTGCCCAGATAATGCAAAATCTATCATATATACACAACCAGACTGGAGTAGTTGGCTACCATTTTTAGCTACTGCAGATATTTTTAGTGTTGTAAGAAGTCATATTACACTACTTTACATTTTATTTACATTTTTTAATGTTCAAAAAGTTTTACACCTTGTTTTGCTTTTCAGATGCTGAGAATCTGCACACGCTACACTCCAGAACAGGACACTATGACGTTCTCAGATGGCCTGACTCTGAACCGGACTCAGATGCACAATGCGGGCTTTGGACCGCTTACAGACCTGGTTTTTGCCTTTGCAGGCCAACTTCTACCCCTGGAGATGGATGATACAGAAACCGGTCTCCTCAGCGCCATCTGCCTCATCTGTGGAGGTACTGCAGCATGCACCTACTCTTGATTGGTCTGTTATAAAGTGGAAAGGACTTTAACAAAATAAAAGTTAAACATAATTGACTTTTGCATGTAAGAGATTATTTAAAACTGTGCCATTTATTTAAAAAAAAGAGAGAATGAGAACATGTGTTTGCTGCTTTTTTCACTAGACCGCATGGATTTAGAAGAGCCCCAGAAAGTGGATAAGCTACAGGAGCCTCTGCTTGAGGCTTTGAAGATCTATGCCCGTCGTCGCCGCCCCAACAAACCCCACATGTTCCCACGCATGCTGATGAAGATCACTGACCTCAGGGGCATCAGTACGAAGGGTAAGAATGGAGAGAGTGCTTTCTAAGATTGAACTCTGTACACTTTCCCAAGGTCCTTGCCAGAAGAATACATCTTTTACAGGACACTCTACTAGTTCAGCTTCACTCTTCCTTTTATTCTTTACGATGTGTCCATGTATTTTGAGCCTTGCTTTCTGTTTTCAGGTGCAGAGAGAGCTATCACTCTGAAGATGGAGATCCCAGGGCCGATGCCTCCTTTGATCAGGGAAATGCTCGAGAATCCGGAGGCCTTCGACGACCAAACAGAGAGTAATGAGAGCCCGCCGCCTCCACCACCGCCCCCACCACCGCCCGCGCCTCCAGCCCTGGTTCTAAAGCAGGAGGCTGAGGATGAGGACGACAGCTGGGCCACCGAAAACGGCAGCGAGCCATCACCGGAAGAGGAGGACGAAGACGACGACGACGATGTGGGAGATGAAGATCGAGACAGGGGCTCGGACAGTGACGGGGAGCCCTGGGTGTTTTAACTTCCATAGATGGGTTGAGGAAAGGCCTTGCTCGGAGGGCGCAGTGAAAAGAGCATTTCATACATAGACACACACACACACACACACACACACACACACACACACACACACACACACACACACACACACACACACACACACACACATACAAGCATATAAGTAAACATACACATATATAGCACAACCTCATTCACTCTTCCACCTCAAGAAAATGCTGGCCTTCCCTTCTCCCTCTCTCTCTCCTGACTGCACATCACTGTGTCCTCCTCCACTGAGCACAGCAGAGCCTTAAGCGTATAAACATTTCTAACTCAGGCCACACGGTCCATGACAAGTGAAATGCAGAAAAAATGAGAGGTCAAGGGAGAGATGACGGTAAACCAGATGAACTCCTGGCACGGCCAAGAGAGAAGTTAACGTGACAAAAAGAACATAACCTCTTTGAGAAAGCTAAATGTTTGTTGTTTTCTCCCCCCTACCCCCCCTTACTATTGTTGTTTATATCTAAACAGGGGAGCCTCCAAACTAGACACCAGAACTAAGCAGTTGACTTTGATTGATTACAACAAGCACATTTAGAGCAAGAGTACAGGGCAAAGCCAAATTGAGTATGCAACTCTTTTGTTGTTATTTTTAAATATTGTTTTCATTCTTTTTTTCCTTTTTTCAGTTTATGAATAAGTCCTTACATATCTATATACCATTATATTTTGTTTTTTATTTGTTATTCTGGTTTTATATATGAATCCTTTAGACAAGTTTTTATCTTTGAAGAGCTTTCCTGAGAAGATATTCAGAGGGAAAGAAGGGTAATCAGAACTGGCTGGGTCTTCCTTATCAGCTACATATGCTTAGCTCGGGCTTCTTGGAGCACTTTGGCTCCCTGTGGATGATAATCAACCCAGGACTTTCTTTTTTGTTGCAGTGACTTAACCAGTTTCTGTTATCAGGTAATTGGCATTATTCTTTTATGCTGTTGTTGCGGCCAGCATGTGCTGTCAGTGCAGGAAGTATCTTTGTGCCAAAGTTAGGAACAGTCATCTGTGGAGCATGAGTTTAACTACTGGCAGGGACTCCAGATACAATCCAGCGGTCCTCATGGCAGAATGCTCAGTCACATGTGCACTAAAAACACACTCTAATTATCTTGGACAGTGTATCCACAAAAGCGCAGAACAAACATACACACTCCTTTCGCTCTATGCTGAGTGGTAGCAGATGTGCCAACCTGGCACAAAGTGCCGGGATCGGAGATTCAGACTTGACCTTATATATGTAGCACTTTTGTGATCATCTGTTTAAGCAAGGCACATCTCTTCCATTAAGTATAGAGCAGCTGTCTGTGAGCATATGTCCCAGTTAGCATGTCAAAACTGATGGTAACATCAACATATTAAATACGACGGATCTTAGAGCTCTCCCTGATGACATCAGTAGATTAGCACACTCATTCAACACAGATAAAAACACCCAAACATACTAGTATCATATGCATCAACACAACCATTAAAGGCATATGCAAAGCAGGAATCTTTATGGAAGACATTTTGGAATCAGACTCAGGGCTTTTCAGTAAGGACCAAACCCTAGCTGCCTCCCAGCATGCTAGAAACAGGCAATATTTATGCGTGCATTCTTGACTATGCGATTCTCAGCCCCACTTTGTGTAAATAGAAGATGACAAGTCTGAAAAACAGCATGGATACCAGTCTGACTCTCCACAGAGCGAGGAGGGACCACCATCATCGTCATCCTCATCACAATCACCGTCCCACCTGCGCTCACACTGGTATCCATGCAGGAAACTGCCCCCTCATCCCAAAAAGCCATTATATCATCTTGTCTTCTTGTGTATATTCTCACTTTTTTTTGAAGAAGAAGAACAGTGGAGGATTATGTGTTCTCATGTATCATTTCTTTATTGCCAAAATGTCACAGTGGGCGATCAGCTTGGAAAGCACGGCTGATATACAGTACAGAGGTTTTTCTCTCCCTCTTTGAAGCAATACGAACATAGTTTCTGTAGCAGCGAGAGGTCCCATCCTCTAAATATGGGCAGGTCTCCTCATTGTGTGTGTGTGTGCGTGCGTGTGCACGTGAGTGTGAATGCTTTAGAAAGTTTTCAGTCATGGGTGGATGTCCTTGGCATGGTGCTGTCACACAGAAACTCTTGTGTGACCTCATCCTTTCTCTCTCTGCTACGCCGTCACGGTGATAGTGACGGTAATGCAGGCAAAACTTTGAGATTATGTTATGTGTTATGTTATTGTTTTTTTTTTCCAACATGGCCAAGGTGTTGTTCTTCCTCTGTTTATGTCAACTCTTGTCATACAAAGAAAAGCCATATAAACAGTGAGAGGCACAATAAACTACTTTTGAGAGATTCCTGGACTTTTCTTTATTACCATTTCTTTGTGCTAAAAATGATGTGATGTGTAAGTTCGCTTATACCAGTGTCAAACTTATGAAACACAGTAAACTGCACTTTTGAATGAACATAATCATTCATTACCGGGGTGCAGCAGTAGAGGGAGCTCTTGCACTGTGGCTGTAGGGTGTGCTGCATGCAGCTGCGTTTACTGCTTGGAGGATAAGGGCAGGGTCTGTTGGGTCATGGAGAGCTGTGGGTGCAGAGGCTAATAAATCACAGCCTCCTGCTGAACAAGGACATCAGATAAAGGTCTGTTCCTAAGATTTGTTCACTCTGCAGTTAAAGGAGTGCAGGTGGCAGCATAAAAATCATCAGAGAACGACTCTTTTCCTCTGCTTTCATCTCACTGTGATCAGAAAGTTAAAGCATATCTAGCCATGAATTCTTTAATGAAAGCTGTACGAGAAGGCTGCAACAGCACAATAAATTATCTCAGTTTTTAGATGCATTACATGATATATCAATTATTATTTGGTGCCATTAAGCTTTGGCTCAAATGAAATAAGATAAAATTACATTTGGCTGTGCAAATTTGTGGTAACATGTTTAAAAAAATATGCCCAAGTATTAATCATAAAATCCATTCATAATGAAAATATCATTTAGCTCCTGCATAGCTGTTAATGTGGCTCATGTTAGAGGTCTGCTGCAGGAAATGAAAGCGATTCTTTTACAGTCAGTAAGCTGCTCAAGCCAGTGCGCTCAAATTATACTGAAACTGTGTGAAATTTGAACTTGCAGAAGTGACCCAGCACTCGCTAATGGCCTGTGAAAGGACATTCAGTCACTGAACTCAAGTCAAAAGCTTTGTCAGAGTATGCTGTGCAAACTTTAAACCAAGCAAGGAAAGGCCTTGTTAAGAAGAGTTTTTTTAAGAGGACCAAAAGTCTGCCCGCGTGTCTGTGTCAAGGTTATACTGCCTATCTTTACTGTATCACTGCTGCTGATATGATCACTCACTCTCTCAAGAGCGGGAATCCTCTTTATAAAGGGCTTCTGACAGTAAACCTTTTCTTTTTAAAACCCGGCCAAGTTGATACTAATGCCACTCCTTTATTTCATTAATAGAAAGAGAGAATCAGAGCAGGGTGATAAACACAGATGAGATTCTATCAATTATATGATTGCTTTAATTATCATTAAAGACAGATCAATAACACCAGACTGGAATTAAAATAAGGCCCATACATTATACACTATTTTACAAGGAACAATCAAATTGCCTCATATACTGAACCCTGGAAGGTGTTGCCATGGGAACCCATGCGAGGGTTTGGGCATGCTTGGGGGGAATTTAAAGGAGCCGGTTTAGTTTTCTATATGCTCATCCTCACACATTAGTGACGGTTGATTAAATAATGACTTGAGATGGGTAGGCTTATTCATTTGAAATTAAAGAATGGAAATGTGACACCTAGAGGTACAACTTCACAATGATTTAATAAAGTGTGAGAAAAAAATCACCCTTGTAATATTCTTACAACCAAAGGACATCAATTATTAAAAATAGTAAAGAATCCATAAAAGCAGGCCGTGAGTGTGCATACCAACGAATATCATTTGAATATTTAAACCCACACTGATATCCCGCTGCACATCTGAGCTGTAGCTACAACTCGGTCAACACACAGGAGAGATAATGGACCAGCAGCAGCTGCAGGGCTTCAGAGAGTGATCTGCAGGATAAAGCTCAGTGAACCCAAATGCTTCTGGCAGCAGTTAGTGAGGAAGGTGCTGGGCTCGGGGTGTGATAAAGGCAGAGAGTGTTGGTGCATGTGACCCAGGTTTGATGTGATAAAAAACTGTAGGGCCTTTCTGTGTGCACCTGAAGCTATATACAAGACAGAGAGGTGCATATGTCATGTGCTGGAAGCATGGAGCTGGGTGCAGGGTCATAATGTGAAATACCACATCATTTACTGTGTGCCTCCTGGTTGGGTCAGAACAGACAAAAAGGACACGTTTGCCATTTGTTACATATGCAGCGAATCCACCGAGGGTTGGGGATCACAGTCAAGGAGGGAGAGAAAGAGAGAGGTGAGGAGAAGGTGAGAAACGTTTTCATGTGCAAAGACCATAAATTTAACACCTTCCCCTGTACGAGCAAGAAGGCAGACGGGCCATCTCACCGAAAGGGTAATGGAGAAAGTGATGAAGAAACGGGTAAAGGTATCTGTGACAAGAGTGAGAATGGAGGGCGTGCCAGAAGGGAGCCAGAGGAAATAAACAAGGCCAGGTAGAGGTGGGGGCGATTTGGGAATGAGGAGCAAGCACTGGGAAGGCGGGCAGGCGTCGGGGTCATAAAAACTAGGAGATGTGTTCTGGCCTCTGGGTCTTCATATCTTTTACATTTCTAATTAAAAGAGATAAAGAGTGAGGGAGTCATCAATCCCACAGTGATTTCCCAGTTAAGGTTTTAGAGGGGGCTGTAAACTAGGCAGCCCGGCATCATTGATTTTATAATTAGCTATCGTCACCCCAGACTTAAGATGGAGGGAGTGTGGTAGAGGGGCACGACGAGAGCTTAAAAGACAGAGCAGCGCGACTCTGCTGGTGGAGTGAGGAGGATGAAGATGATGAGGAAGTCAGCCCTGAGGGGGGACTGCAGGAGAGTCAAAGGTGAGGAGAGAGAAAAAACCCAGAATGGGAATGTATATGAAACAGGCAATGAGCCAAAAGGGAATATAGGCTATAGAGCCGTGTGAAAAGAAATGGCATAGTTAATTACCAGTGAAATGTCATGTGAGGATCAAAATATTGCTATAATCATTGGCCAGAAAAAGACACATTAGACCCAATAATGGATACATAAACGTTTTTATTATGCAGAACCCCACCCAAACCCCATTACATGACTGGTAAGAAAATACACAGTGTACATGTGGGATAACCTTCACATACAGAAGTTCAAAACAAACCGTAACCACTGGAGTTTTATTGCGGTGTGAGACAGTGTCCTGATGAGGAGCACTCGTACTGGAGATCTCAGTGGAACAACAAAAAGATAACTTCCTTGAGACATAAAGTCAGATTACAACTACAAACAAGGACTACTGAGAATACGTTTAGTGTGCCATCTTCTGGGAAAGAACACGGGGCTCCTTAAAACCTTTCAACCATCCACATATGTAGTGTAACACAAGGTAAATGAGGCGTCACGTTTACTTCTTTCACTCCTAATTTTATAAACTTAAACATTAGGATCAATTCCTTCCATATGTATTTTTTTACATCTACCTTTACCATACGATGTTGGCATCACTCCCTTCCATTAGCACCAATACCTTGCAACAACGTAACCTTTAAACAACCCATTAAAGTATTTGAAAGCATAAAGTAAAAATAGAAAAGAGATAAAACGTGAGTAAACACAACACACGTGGGTAATGGTTATGATAACAATGATGAAGGACACAGATGGCATATTGGTGAGTATCAATATCAACTTTTCATCTAAAAACTCTTCTCTAGTAAAAATAGGGTGCAAATACAGCAGATAAAATCAAGCATCAAGGTATCTAGTAAATTCTCTTAGCCAAGCATGGAAAATTTTGTTACACATTGCACAAACTGTGAAAACTGTACACCTGTTTCAAACTAAACCTGAATATAGTTTAATTGCAGCATAACTCAAATTAATTATAAATAGAAAATCATGAAAAATGCATATAATATTGATTAAAACGTAGGCAGCATTTCTTTTATTAGGCAGTATATTACCTCAGGGCTGGGGGAAAGTATCAACACCATGATTCTGATGTCAGGATCTATAAAGATGATTCTACTTCATTATTTTAGGCACAAATTTAGAACTGCATCACAATGATTTCTGTGCAATCTAGCTGTGATAAAGGCTGATGCTAAATATCCCGAATGAGCAGCTAGAGAATTTCAATAAACCCAGGTTCATTAATAAATAAAAAAAATTGTAGCTTTGCAGTGTAAAGCTAATGAACATTAATTTCATAATAACGATTATGTGAAGTTACTCAAGTAGAAAGTTGCATGTCGTCCCTATTTAAATAGATCTGAAGCACAATCTGTTGAATAAGCTTTCTATTTCAAAAGCTCGTCCTAAGCGTCAGCATCCCTAAATCACCTTAACTGCATCTGCATGACAACAATCACCTGCTAATGCATACAAGAAAGTTCAAATCAAATCTTAGTTCTGAGTAAATGGAGGAGAAATATGATGTCATAGACCTACATTACTGCAATATAATTTAGCATGATGCTGTATCATTACTTTATGCCGCCATGAAAAGTGTTCGAAGCTGCTGTGGAGAATTTAATGCTGGAAGAGAGTTTTGCTATGATTTCCAGCGGAGCTGGGCCTGCACAAAACATCATAATTACAGTGCCTGTCATGACTCCTGATCACAAATGCCATAAAAACGACATAACATCCATCGTAAAGCTCTCGACATAGCAATGATTCAACAGAAATCATTCTGCTACAGCCTGCAAACTCTCAAATGCCAGAGCCCACGTCTAAAAGCCTGCTGCTTCAAACTGTGCACCACTCTTATGTCAGTCATAAATATTGTGTTGACCTGCCACCGCTGGCAAAAACAGTCAGGGTAAAAACACAGCAATCTAGAAGGACAAAAAACAAGGTTTATGGCAGATACAACATAATTGCATATTAAAATTCTGTCTGTGTATAGAGCATAAGCTGTATTTGTGCTTGTTATAGGAAGTAATGCGGAAACAACAAGGTCCCTCTTTCCCTTTTTGATCACTTGCTGTGGGTAGGTGTCCACTGGTTACCAGAGCGAGGTGTCAGCTGAACCACTGGAGGAAGAAACAAAGGAGAGAGAAAGGATGTGTGTGTGTGTTAAAAATGGAAAGAAACACACATTCTGGTTGAAAGAGCAGGCGAGACGAAAGGAGTGGGTGAGTGGGAGAGCGAGAGCCTTAATGATGCTGAAAATTGGCCCGTGACTGCGGTA